TGTTCTGAAAGCATCGGAACATGCTCAACGCGGTGCCTCCTGACCTGCAGCACATCGACTGGGATTCTATCTACCTATCTATCTTTATGTCACAAACTGCACAGCCTGACAACTACACTGGAAGATGACATACACTCTGTACCCGGCATGATCATTCTAAGGTCGGCACACCATTTTTAAAGGTAGGCTTTGCCGACCTTCGTTCTCAAGCCATGACTAAATTGGCAGTTCGGCCGTGCCAAAAGCCTTTAGTGCCAGCCCATGAACTTGATACTCGTTGACTTCCTGCTTCTTTGCTTACATCCCAAAGCGGATATGCTTATAGGGTCTATCATCTGCTGAACAAGGGCACGGTGACCAAGTTTCGGATTACCGGATCCCGCAAGCGCAATGCGTAAGGGATGTGTGTGCGCGCGCACGGCTCTAGAAACTGGACCTAGCATCCGCAATTGAAAGTCATGTATTTTTTTTTTTTTTTTTGGGGGNNCGGCGCGAGATCGTGACAGTCCTTTCGTAACCTTCGTATTAACATGTCTCTCTGGACACGGGGTGAGATCCAAGTGTTCTCGCTGCGTGCAACGCAACAGCAGTAGTCCTTTTGCATGAACAGGCTCATGTCTCTAATTAATTGTGCACAGAGAGAGATCCAAGTGCGCTCGCGGCGCTAGAACACAGCAATCTTTTCACATGAATATGTATGAACATGTCTGCTGTGCACGTACACAGATCCAGGCATGCTCACGGCGTGAGAGAACGCCCGCACTCTTACAACAGCAATCTTTTCGTATGAGCATGCCACTCTTCGCGCACGCAGAGAAATCCAAGAATGCTCTCGGCATGAGACCGCAGCTGTCTCTTCGATGCAACATGTCTCTTCGCTGCAACATGTCTCTTCATTCTCTCTGCGGCTTGGAGTGAGATNNAGTCTCTCTGCATGAGCATGTCTCTTTGCACACGCAGAGGGATCCAGGTCCAGGTGTGCTCTTGGCGTGAGAACGCAGCAGCCTGTTCGCATGAGCATAGCTCTTTAGATCCAGGCAAGCGTGCTCGTGGGGCGAGAACGTAACACTCTCTGTTTTGTATGAGCGCGTCTTTTTGCGCACGGAGAGATCGATTCCAGGTGTGCTCGTGCAAGAACACTGTAGCTACATGCGCCGTGCGCAAACCTATTCACGCTTGTCAACCATGTAGAATACACAAATCTTATAAGAGTGGGCAGAGGACGGCTATCAGATTGCCATACCATTTCGGCATTAGAGCGTCAGGCCGTACTTAGGCATCCACTGCTGTAAACACCGAATTGGGCCAATCGTGTGCTACTCCATCGCCACTGGGGTCTGTTGCTGAGATAACATCTGCGAGTTTTCATGTTCAGCGTCAAGGTGCTTTCTTAGGATCGTCAAATCACAGGAAACAGAGCCAAGGGTCGATAATCAGGCTGACCGTGAGCTACTCTGACGTCAGAAACACTCAGCTGTCCTCCTGGGCACCCCTCCTTGCACGAAGCTGCGCTGGGTGCCGGACGGCTCTTTGCCGCTGTCTAGCCGGTCTGTGGAATTTGATCTTAACCTGACGGATTCAGAAATCTCAACAACCTCAGGAGGTTAAACTAGTAACTAGTCATGGCCTGGCACATGCGGCAACCCTGCTACATTTTCGGGAATTTTCGGGACCGCAGTTCTTTGCCTGTCTTTGCTGCCATGGCTCCGTTCATGGGTCACCTGTAAAAGGGCCATGCAACTGCCTGAGTCATCACCTGCACCAGCAAATGCTACTCTGAGAGACATCTTCGCAACTCAAGCATACCAGACCTGATTCCTGAGCTGCGCAGCATGCCGCCCAAGCAAGCACGGCAAAGAAGACCTCAGCCATCTTGTGAACCATCTGCAACAAACAAGCAATCAAAATATCGAGAGTGGACACGCTTTGAACATACTTGGAACAGCAGTGGAAGTAAAGGGCGACTCAATGGTCTGGAAACTCTGGCTGCAGCTCATGCGAACCGGCTAGATAGTCAGGGTCGAAGAGAATGGCAGTTGGCCATAGTAGACCCTTTTCTCAAGCAAGCTTGACCAATGCTAGCACACCAACTCCAGAAAACCTTCCTAGACACCTTAACCACTGCAGGCATGCGACCTTCATGGTTCGCTATCGGAGTCTATCTTTCGGTCCCTTAGTCTCAGGATGTCTTTGGAACATGCGCCCTTCCATGCATGACTGAGACGTGACAAGTGCAGCTGGCATCTGCAACCGATTATGAACCAGCAACGCACCCCAGAAAGCTGCATTACCATGTTGCAACCTGGCATCTAATGCACATCATGGAGAAATCGGCACAAATCTTGGGTGAATTTGAGCCGAACTGTAGCGGCGAAGCTGATCCCTTCGAGGCATTCACGGTGCGATCAACAGACCACGGGCATGAACAGCTCTGGATTGTGTAAAAGCTTTTGTTTTTCTTTTCTTGAGCCTTCATGCGCCATCTTGCAGTTGTTGGGCCGCCCAGGGTGGACAACTTGACGTCCGTCCGAGCACGTCCCTCGAAACAGGCATGTGCATGTGCTACTACAACTACTGCGTTCTCAGAGCGGTGGAGGACCGGCAAGTCGAGCCAGCATCTGCTCAACATCCTACCTCAAGTCACGGTGCCGCTTGTAACTCGGAGATCGTTTTCCCAGAACGAATGTGCTGAGGCGCTGGGTTTGTTGCACCATAGCTTTGACCACGAACCAGAAGGCACCAAAGAATAGGGCCACGTTCCTTACTTATCTATCTCAGCCAATGCTCCTGGGAGGACAGAAAAGCGTAGCTAACTTTTCGTCTGCAGTACATGCAGCCAGGTCTCAGAATGGTCACCAGAAGGTACTCCTCGGTTTGGCACGCATGGTCACAGCCTTTGCTTGTTGGAAAGCACAGTGGCACAAAGGTACAAACGTTTATATGCTCAGGCGTCTGGCGTTCCCGGCCCCTCTCACCCCCCCAATGTTATGGTCTGGTAGGGGTGTGGGGGGGCCTGGCGTGTCGGAACTGTGGGGGCTGAGGGGCGGCCAAGGGTCACAGAAAGGGCCGGGATCTCATGCAAGCCATATGCAAGCCATAAACCACGTAACGTAGGGCGTGTTCCTGTTTTTATTAGCGTTAACCTGTGCTTTAAACCCCAGGCTCTAAGCCGAAAGCAGAACATAAATCATCAACCCTAAATAACCCAACCTACCTACACCTAAACCCTCCCTAAGTCCTTGTCGACTCGAAGGCTTACACCTTTTAATTAACGTTTGACCCTGAACCCCAAACCTTATTGTAGCGAAAGCCGACGCTTTATTTTTCAGGAGGCTTTAGCGCGAGCCGCGGCACGCTGACCCCAGTGACAAAGTATTCGGTCGAAAAGTGAATCGCTCTGTGCCTTTTCCATATTGGGTGTCGGGCCCTCAAAAGGAGGAGCTTTCCCGATCTCAGATCGCTGGCCCGAAAGCCCCTATCAGCATTGTAGCCGGGGCCTGCAGGTAGTCGTCTGACACCGCTATGGCTACTCTGATCCATTGACCAGCCTGGCCCTTGGCATCTCTCCCCAAAACTTGGCCACAATTGTTCCTTGACGGTCACCCTGTCTGCCGGTGACCCTCGCCTCAAAGTAAACCCCGGCCTGACCCTACATGTGCGCAGACAAGCCAAACTCAAAAGTTTAAGCTAAACCCTAAACCCCAAACCCACAACCACCCCACAGGAGGAAGAGGGACCCCACACCCCAACCCAAAAGATCCTGGACTATGGACCATGGGAGGGAGGGGGGCGGTTCCCAGTTCGGCCGCCCCCTTCCCCAAATGGTTGGTACCCCTTCCCCCCGCCCTTGTTTGCGGTGCGGTGTGGTCCGGGATTTTGGTCTGCTTGGAGTCCCGCCCCGCGTGTGGTGTGGTGTAGTGTGGTTCGGGGTTTGGGTCTGCTCTCAGCCCTCCGTTTTCTGTGGTGTGGTGTGGTGTGGTCCGCGGTTTGGGTCCCCCTGGGTGTTCCGAAGTCGTCATCATCAACATCCTCGTCATCATCATCATCATCATCGTCATCATCGTCATCCTCATCATCGTCATCCTCATCGTCATCCTCATCATCATCATCATCGTCATGATCATCATAATCATCACTATCATCATCCTCATCCTCATCATCATCCTCATCATCATCATCATCATGTTCCTTTCTTGGGTCAACTGCCACCGGAAGCGGGCCTGACAGGAACGCGATCCTGGTGACAGTTGCATTTTCAATACCCTCATGGCAGTGTCCTGGGAGGAAAGTGTCCACTGTCACACGGATCGGGTGTGTTTGGGACGAGATCCTCGTGACAGCTGATGGTTTTGGAGCCACGATGTGGGAGAAGTGCGCACAGTGAATGTGGAGGGTCGGCGAACCGAGAAGCGAGATCATATCTACACTCACTCATGGAAGACAGAGAAGCTGCCGGGAGGCACTGCAAGCATCACTTGTTCTGGAGACACCGCCCTCGGTAATGTTCACCTGGACATGGATCGACGGTAAGAGTAGTAGCCAATAAAGCATGTCAATCCACATAGTCTTTCGAAAACTTGATGCTGACCCATTTTCGCCCAACCTCGCTGGCAACTTGACATGATTTCAAGCAGTGGGGAGAACTCAAGTTGCAAAGCATCCCCATATGGCAAACAGCAACGACTGGAGCTTCACAACATGCTCATCAAGCGCTGGGTCACGCAATTGGCAGGAAAAAGCGTCTGCTGCTGCAACCCGCCTCCCAGTTCAGCCAGCATGCCGGGTTATCATCATCGAAAGCCAACGCACCTCGCTTCTTGCGGGCATGATCCATGAGCGACTTCTTGAGGCTCGACGAAATGCACTCAGTGAAGGCGGGGGCGAGGTGCTTTGCCCTTATCTCCATTTTGGCTTTCACGGCCCTGAGTTGACCCCAAGCCGCGTGCAGCTGCTATAGTCTACGTTCCTATGGCTGCGCAGGACGGCACTTGAAGGTGTTACTATGACCCTGTTCCTGGCTCTGCCGGGCCGACCGGCACGAAGCGCTGGTGCCTTGAGAGACCAGAAGCACCAGTGAAGCTCGCAGTGGAAGATGAGTAGGCGCCCATCCCATGCTCAAACGAGAAACATCTGTGCACAGGTCCCACGAAGAAATCTGCAGTCCTAAGGTGTTAGTACCAATGCCGACTCTCTTGAACCTCCATCCTCAGAGCCGATCCGGCTTCGGCAAAGTGCACATTAGGGTCTGACTGGCGACAGCAGCAGCGGCTGTGATTGCATGCTGAAGCCTGCTTGTCATTTTCTGCACTCCTGCTGGTATCGACATCCGCGTTTCCTCCATCAGCGCAAAGGCCTGAAGTCTGACGGAGCATGCATCCAAGCCAGCAAGAAGTCACCGAAAGAAGAAGATTCACACTCGTGCTGAATGTAGCCAAAGCTCGAGCATGGCGGGCCTGCGACTTCGCTGACTTGATGAATGACCAGCCCAGCTTCAGCACGGTGGAAGTCTATGACTTGAAAACCTGCATTTCGCTCAACGGGGCTTATCGGGAGCATACCTACGGCACTGTATGTCCCGACAGTTTGCCGAGGTGACGTCCAGACCAAGCATTTTCTTTTTCGACATGTAGGGCGTCGTCCTGCCTGGACACCCCTCTGCACAATGGTGATGCGGTCGCCCAGGGACAAAGCGATGCCCTGTGTTCTGGAGCGAATGCGGCAGCTGCCTTGCCGACAACACACTTTCGCCCTGAAATCCTGGTGTCGTGCTGTGCTCCGTGCCTGTCAGCTTGCCGTCTGGCAGCTTCTCTATGGAGATGTTCGCGAGCGCATCCTGCACTTCACTTTGTGCCGATGGTGCCCCGTCGACTGGCACTCCGTTCGTGCAAGCTCAGATAGTTACGTTGTGCAGGACTACACGTGGACCTGCCAACTCCCAGCCTCGCCAAAGATGGACTTGGCATAGAGGTTGACTGCCACGAAGCTAGAGGTGTCAATGAGTTTCTTGATCCTGGATGAAGCTGCCGAGTCATTGAGAACTCCGAAGTAGTACAATGCAGCTAGCTAGTCGTACTTTCTGAACGAGCGTGGCACGACCAGCACAAGCATAGAGCTCACCAAGTGTCCCCACAGCATCTCGCAGCATCTCTTGGACATCTTCAGCTGTAAGCTTACCTTTCTTCTGAGTCTTGTTGTCACCTTGGCCAGACAATTGCTAAGCCACACGTACGAAACATGTCCGTGACCCGAATCCCTTGCCGCATGGGTTTGGCCTAAGCTCTCCACCGCCTTTCTTGTAGCTTCTACCGACAATAGACATGTTGGTGTTTCTCATGATGTGTTCCAGGAACGTCCCCACCTGCCAACTGTAACAACTTGGCAACACTCGCATTAAGGAAGGTCAAGGCAACCGACGAACCAGCGCCTCCGTTATGGAGGTGTTGATGTTCACCTTGTTCTCCCACTCAAACTCCGACCACATGGTCCGGAAGGCTAGCTCGTTGATCCAGGATCCTCCCATCGGCTCACTGGCTTCTGGTAGGGCGAGCTTGCCTGGAATCCCCCCGACTTTTGAAGCCGCGGAGCGTTCTATGTAATCCAGGATATCTACGTGCAGCTCGTTCAGAACCTGAAAATGAAACACGCAAGCAAAAAAGAGCCCGTGCACACACAGACACAGAGAGAGAGAGAGAGAGAGAGAGAGAGAGAGAGAGAGACTGCGGCGCAATGAATGGGTGTCAACCAGAGCATGCGTGCATACATGTATGCATACAGCTATGCATGTATATACGCATGTATGTAACGTAGGGTCTCGAATCAATTAGCCCTGTAGCTGCAGGCGAATGGCCAGGACCCCAGGCCCGTGTGCAATGGTTGCAAGATGGGGAAGGGGGGTCGCCGAAATGGTTGAGGAAAGCGTGCTGTCGGACTTACCCACAAATCTGGCAGATGCGAAGCTTCCGGACGCAAAAGCTGGCCAAGCTATGACCCATGACTGGCCAACTTATGACGACTTTTGCAGCGGCCGTTTAGGAGGCATTTCTGCGCTACAACCGACGTTATTCGCTGGGCCACTCTCGACCGCCTGGACGCGGCCACAAGGGGCATGGGAGACTCTTCAACAGCAGTGTTTAGCAACTCACGGTGGAATGAGCATGCTGCTGGATGATTTTGGAGGCTCTGCGCAGAATCAGCACCAGTATTTCTCTTGGATGGTCTCGGCGCCCAGAGCTTTGGGTGTGATGCAGATGGTGTTGGCGATCGCATGGTAGAGGAACTTCGGGAATGCTGTGCACGGTATTCGTTGATGCGGGTTGAAGGCAAGCTTCCACTTGATCTGCACTCGCCCGCGCGCTGCCGCTGGTGAGGCGCACGTGCAAGGAGTGAACGTGAACGTGATGCGCTGTCGATGTGGGGTTTGTCTTATCGTTTTTGGAGGGGTGTTGAGACAGCTTTTCGGGCCTTCGACTTTAGGGCCTGGCTGGTTGAATCTCGATCCACCTTTCCCGTCCGGTAGATTTCTATCAGGCAGTATACATACATACATACATACATACATACAGACAGACAGACAGACAGGCAGGCAGACAGACAGACAGACAGACAAAAAGACAGACAGGCAGACAAACATACACAGAGGTACGACGTACGCACATACATACGCATGCACGCACGCACGCACACAATAGACACAAAAGTTAGACGCACATAGTTACATGATCGGCAGCACAAGACAGAAACTCGCATTCTGGCCAGAGCAAGTCTGCCATCGTCAATCTCTCATTCCACAGAGAAAATGACGAGAGCGCTACCTGACCTATCTTGTCACGCCGATCAAGCACGCCGCGACCGTTGAGAATCTGGGCGCAGAGCAGAGCATTCCTTGTCTGCCTCGCTCTCATGCAGCTGAAGCAAGTTCAGCGACATCCAAACGAAGAAGAAACATGTCTTCCACGAGTGCGGGCTTCGTTGACTAAACCATTCTGACCGCTTGCAGAGCAGGACTGCTTTCCCAATGCTCACCGAAGTACTGCGCTCTTCTTTTCGAACGTGACATAGCCAAAGATGATGCCAGTCTCTGTTGACGCTACCTGGACAATGTCACGATGCACCATCTGCTTTGCTGAGATGTCAGTTCCACCTTGATAGAGGCGTGGAGCGTCATTTGCTGACCTGCACCGGGCAAGACAACATGACACGAAAGGCGCGGTGACAGTGCAACACATGCAGAATGACGTCTTGCCGCCCTGCCTGCTGCAAGCGTCACTGCAGACGGTCTGTCCACAATCTTCAAGTCTCCCTGCAGATGCAATGTCCCAAAGGAGGCATGACACACTGCTTCAGAGTTTCTGCTGGAGCCCAGCGTAACTTCGCTAGTTGCGAGGAAGGCGACATGCAAACACACCTAAGTTCCTTCACATTTTGTTCAGATATGTACATGAATGTTTCTGAAGTTGAAGATTGTCTCAAATTCTCCGCTTGTGAGAACAGTTTGAATTTGAAGAATTCAGGAATAGCATGCGCACAATATTCTCTTTGACGTTAGTAGTGGAATGATTCATTCAGTTTGTTGGCCAGACATGCAACTGAATCTCATTTGCGGGCGTCACGAACGATATGTCTACTACCTGAACCCTTTCGAGACCAGGACTGCGAGGTAGCGCGCCATGGCCTGTGTGCTCAACTCGATGAGAACGTTTTGCAGCGTCTCGCTGGTTCTGTTCACTACGAGGAGCTCGAGCATAAGGTCGAAGGAGTGCACCTGCGATTGAAAACGCATGGAATGCGCTACCATGCGCTGTGCTCCCGACACAAAAGACCGAAGGTGCCTTATCAAAAGACAGAGCACCGCCGGGCCTGTAGGAACGCCTCCACATAAACAGGGTCAGCCAGGCCTGTCATCTGCTGCACCTGTCGTGTTGCCGTGTGAGCAAGATCAAAGGCAATACCATCGGAGATGGCGGCGCTGCAAGCGCTTCATGTTACGTGCCAACTTATGGTAGCTTTGGGAAAGGGGTGGAGTTGCTTCTGCCTTTTTTTGTCTGGAAAAGTAGGTGGGTGGGGGTGCAGGGGGTTGCGGGGGCTGCGGGGAACTCGGGGGGGCTGTGGGGGCGGGGTTGGGGGGGCGGAGGGGGGCTGGAGGCCCAAGTCTTTACGTACAAGTGTGCTTCGAAGCAATATACAAGTGGAAAGCCGGACGAGCTTTAGCCTCAGCAACATACCGTATTGACATGAATTTGATTTGATTAGGCGAGATTTATCATATAGTAACGGTACTGTTCTATATTATATTGCTATTAATTCAATATGATATGTATATTGAGACCATACAACCGTTAAATCAACACTAAGCTCCAGTATTGCTAATACTAGAAGCTATGTTATAGTTTAGTCTAATGCTGCATGGAAAAGACTGGCAATGCTGTATGATTATATGAATACTCTATCAAGATTACGCAGAACGTGTACGACTTAGGAAATGATGGGCAACTATTAAAACTCACTGTTTTTAGTTTACATTAATAGTTCCAATATTAGTTTCTGTTATGGCACAGCATAAGACAGTGCACCATACAACCTGGTAGTGTATCATATACAACATATTATGCTGCATTCTGTTCTGTTGGATAATACGATGTTGTGCTATATCGTCTAAAGGACATAATGGTATCATGGTTTATCATGGTATATTGACAAGCATCACCCTATGTTATAACATGCTTTAGTAACTTCCAGTATATAACCATTAACTGACACTACGTTATTTGGGTAATGTTCTATCATACCACGAAGTACAACATTTGATGTTGTACGGTTTCGTTAGTATCGTATGCACCTCATATGTTTATTCGGTATTCTATGTTACTTTTAAGAAATACCATATAGTTTAAAGAACAATCAGAGATAAGATGATATACTAGCATATATTATAATTTAATATGAATATATGGTTTAGTGCGATGGTATAAAAGTGGTATACATATATATATATATTTTTTTAATTATACATATATATATATATACATACATACATACATACATACATACATAAATACATACATACATACATACATACATACAAAATATTGTACAGTATGACACCCTATAAGACTAAATACTTGGATAGAAACAGTTTAAGTAGATAATGTAATATAATACAGCACAATACAGTTTATCCCATCATGTGTCCCCCACCCCGACAAAAACAAAACATCGAAAAATAAAATTACAAATTTTTGAACTTTAACTTTAACATGCTTGTTGCCAACACGAGGCATATCTACGATCCTGAATGCAATGGTTCGCAATGACGAGATTGCACGTCGTCGCAACAGTAGCATTATTTCCAGTCTCCACTTGATTCTCTATCTAAAGCACAGCGTAGCTTGGGAGAACTTCCGAAATTGGTGCAGCGAGCATTTGCATTGGCGACTATAGAATTTGTAGAAAGCCTTGGCCAAGCGCTCTGCAAACAGCGCACCATCGGCGGCTGCCTTGTGTGAATTGAGTTGCTGGTCGCTTCCACTGGCTAAGGATGCTTGTAGCCACGAGAAGGCTGTCACTCAAGGAATTCCCGCTGCCCTTGCCTGCGCCAGGAAGGCGCCACGAGCGGCACTAAAGTCCTCATCATCGTCCATGGCACCTATTAGCAACTGCCACGCCGTTCTCCACAATCGACATTAGATTGGATGAAAGATCAGATCTGCGCGAGCTGCATGAACCCCGGACGGAGCTCTCTTGAACTTTCCTGCCTGTTGGTCCAATTCCACCCTTTCTTTCGCGAAGCTGCCGAAACATGACGCACTCGTCTGGCCCAACGCTCTTCTCCTGTCTGGGCTTAGGCTCTGAAGATGAAACAACAACTCTTTCAAAGGTAAAGAACGGAACGCCCCAGATCACAGAGGTTCGCATCTCTACGGGCGCTCGCAGGATGCCTGCACCTCTTCCTCCTGACCGAGCGCCCACTCCGAGTTTTGTGCTGCAAGCTCCAGCACCTGCAGCAAACGAGAGTATGGTCGTCCATCTCATGCTGCAGCGTACATGATGGACTTCGGGCCTTTGCCAGCTGGTCTCGTCCATGATTGGACGTCCAGTCGCCTTGTACTAGCTGGGCAGCTGCACGCTGCGAGTCCGAGAGCTGCGAATTGCCTCAGGGCGAAGCGATCCGAACGCGACGCGGCGCCGCGGCGGCTCTGTTCGAGGTTTCTCAACTCCAAGGCCCGGTCCGAGCACTGCAAACGCTCGGATGCATTGACTGAGTCGGACGGCACTGTCACACTTCTCGCCACCTGCACAGCAAAGCTTATGACGATCCCGGCTAGGCCTGCTGGTTCTGTTCTATTCGTCGAAAACATTGAACGGCATCGAGTAGCCGACACATTGGACTTGTGTGGTTGAACTGGCCATAACTGATCCGGGCCAGGCACCACAAGCATGCTGCTTCACGAGCTTGAAAAGGTTCGCAATGACCAACAGCACCTTGACAACTGGATGATGATACATCGTGTTCTCGCAACAGAGAAGAAGACCCTGATGCTGCACTACATGATTCAACTGAATACACTTGCTTCGTCAGAAGTGCAGCCGGGCACCTCGTTACGAACCCCGACAGGCAGCTTCTTCAGCTTCATGCACAGCTTTGTCATCGACACCTGTGCTGCAATGCAAAATCGCTAAGCCATGTCCAAATGTCGAAGTCCTGGGCTAGAAGGAGGAAATCAGGAGCTTGCACAGATTGCGTGGTTTAAGCGCAAGGTAGCTTGAGGCTCCCAGCCATGTCGTTAAGCCGACGGACCCTCACCATTTTCTTCAGCCGCCCCCTCTTGGGAAGTCGAGCGACACCTACCATTGCGGAGAGGAGGAAGTCGCCACCTCAATGACTCTCAGGCTCTGGGAGTCAGAGTCAAGGATTTTGACTCGTTTTTGAGGCTGAGACCAAGCAGCAACGTCCGAAAGGCCGTCTTCTTTGACTCAGTCTTCGCCTTCTCCTCAGGAGCCTCTTCCTCTTCTCCTCGCACGTCCAATACGAGTCACCCGTCGATATCTGCATCGCGGATCATGATATCACACCTGTGCTCCTGCCCCTCACCAACCTCCCCTCATTGCTTCCATCCCACTGTTGCGACGCGCTTCGTCAACGTGTGAAAAGGGATCGCAACAATTGAAAGCCACTGCCAGCAGCTAACACTGGGTTACGATCTCCTTCGCCTCCTTCGTAAACATTCTGAGTGCCTTATGGCCAGGTGGGCTGCCAACACAACAGCAGTTTGTCCGAAGCTCTCTCAGGCTGCAGCCGTACGTGCCATCTGCCAACACCACTGTTTTGGTGGTGATCTTCGGCGGCTTCTTCTCCTGCTGCTCTAGTCAGTGTGCTGCAATCATGTTGGTTAAAACGACTGCTTCTTCGCAGTAGGCATGTGCAAATTCAGAATCACGCGTGTCCTGCTGTTTCTTCTCGCTGTTGCTGGAGTCTTTCTTGTCTTTCGATGCATCTTCCAGGACGAGGGGCAGCGGCCTCGCAAATGAAGCATGTCGCGACGAGATTGTTTGCCATCATGAGGGTTGTAGGTATAAGGGTATGTCTGGGTGCGCGGGTCTTCGCATGAACAGGAGCTTCAGCTGCCGTCTAGAGTCTAGCCTGCACGCATAGCATGTAAGGATGCGCCTGACCGCCGCAAGCACACCCTGGATGACATTCTCAATGAGAGCTTCATCCTCGCAGTACTCGCCGAACAGCCAGAGACAACCTCGCAGGACCTCGAGCGGAAGCTCAAACAACAAGACCTGTGAGACAAGCGGACATTGAAAAGGCCGCCGCAGCGCCTCCGACATTCGTCCCACTTCAGGCCCTGACACGCGACTGCGAGACGTCGGCAATGCACTCGGCAAGGCGTTGCAGAATGGGCAGCCGCATCTCCTGCGAAACATGGCAAGAAGGGCCGTGAGCCGTACGATCCCCGGCACGCGGAGTGTGAGAGCCCGGCTGTGTAGTTGGCGATCAACTCACGAAGGAACATGACCTCAACGGGATTCCGGGATAGTATGCTCCGATGGCCACCATGCAGGCATGACAACCGTCACAATTCTTGACGCGCTCCAGGGACGGTTACGAGGCAGCGGCTACTTCGGTTGCCGTCATCTGGTCAGACTCGGTCAAGAAGTCCTGGCTGACAGCAGCTAGCAAATTCGCCTTCCAACTGTCTAACACCAGCGCAGCAGCAGTCCATCAAAAGGAACATCACGCTCTGAGCTTGATCAGGGTATTGCCCTGACAAAAGCAATGTACCAGCACTTGGCTCGTAGACTTGGGCTGAACAAGGAATGCGCTCTGTTCTGTGAATGTGGGCTGCTGACCTGTGCAAGCATGCAGTGCTCTGATGAGCAGCCGCCGGTACTCCAGGTTGCCTTCGGTGTTGGAGGCCTTCCACAAGAGAAGAGTGGGAGGCCGCAACGCACTGAACGGCAGCTGCTTGCCTCGTAGCCCAGCGTCTTGATCACCTCCTTTTTGAGGAGCGCGACAACATCCTGACATCCGTTTGCACTGGTCTTCCTGGCAAGATATCCATCCGCAAGCGGCTGCACGCCTTGATGTTCCGGGGAGTGACTAAGGAACCCAGGCAGATGTCCATGACCTCAGCCGCTTGTCAACAGAACTAAGCGCAAAGAATCGGGCGACAGCAGCGATGCATCCTGCGATGCATCATCCTGCAATATCCTGCAATGTCTCTGTTCTGACTCTTTCCGAGAGAGCTCGCAGAAGACCGCGGTTTCGGTCAGAGTGCAGAGGCCCCCTCGTGCGGCATTGCCGAGAGGAAGCGCCCATGCATTGAAAAGCCCTAAGACTTTGAGACCTCATTCATGTCATTGACATCATGAGGCCCAGCTGATCTAGCTGCGGAGCTACCATGAAAGGACAGCACTCACGTCCTAAAATATTTTTCGAGCTTGTGCTTAGCGACTGTTGTCAGAGTGCAGCTAACAGTACGCGTCGTTGGAGTGCTGGCTGAGCTTCTGCTACAACCACGTGTGAGGAAGATGTGAAGAGGTTGCAGGCCGCCAGGTGGACAAATTGCTTAGACTAAGTCGAGTTGGAATCCACTCCCCTAGGATCCTAACGATCTACGACTCGTCTTGCCATCGTGGGCTGTTTGCACACCCCTCCAATCCCTATGCACCCAACTCGAAGTAACAAGAGACTGAAAGTAGACCACCTAGGAGACACTGCAGCCTGTGCAAGTCTCCTTGACTCCCTCAGGCACGCGAAGCGGCGCCCATCGGCGCACCTCAGGAACAGAACCCGACCAAATGGAAGCGCAATTCTGTCTTCGAGCCCCAGCTTGCCAATCGGCGCCTTCAATGCAGTGCTGACTCCGGTGATGTCATCACCCAATTGGTGCTGCGCCAAGCCGTCCTGGATGCTTGATTGGTACGTTGATGTTTCGAAACATCTCTAAGACTCTGTCATAAGTGGGCACAACGACGCAGTCAAGGCTCACGTTGCGCGGCCATAGCGACTTTAACCGCCACATTGTGGCTGACTTGCTGAATGCGAGAAGGATGCGGCAGCACCGACTCTGCCTGCAAAGAGCGCTCATGTGATGAGCTTCGAAATGGCGAATTGACGAGATGTCGAACGTGGACGGTCAAGAGCAGCGGGACGGCCTCCAGGTCCTTGTCATCGAGGGACTGTGCCACAGTGATTGCCGCGACCATGAACCATTTGTCTGGAATCTTCTTCGCCTAGCAGGGACGACTTCAAAGTCAGGGCTGCGTGCAAAGCTGAGCACCCACCTCACACCAGTACGCTCCAAAAGACATGCCCGGGAAGATGAAGAAGTTGTTCACTTGGCCGGGTATTCGCGTCCTGTCGCTCCCGAGCCCAACCCCTGCTTCCACGCGCTACCTGCACGCCGTGTTACCGGGTCTCGGGTGCTGTTGCTACGTTAGCGTTAGCCTTGCGAATGCTGCTGATGCTGATGGTAGACTGGCCTTGGTGTCGCCAGTGTTTCCTATTCCGGGATTTGTCAATGTCGTGGGAGCTGATGCCGCTGATCCCGATGCTAGTTGTTCCTCTCCTGCTCTTGGGGTTTGCTCAACTCCTGCGGACATTCTCGCTGGAACTGGACACCAGCACGTCACCACAGGGCCGGCAAAGCTGCTCAGCTTCCGACCTGCCGTTGAAATCCACTGGCGGGAAACGGGTTCCAGAGCCGAAAATTGCCTTAGACCGGATTTGGCAAGGGCTTCAAAGCATCGACATGTGCGGCAGTGACTGCAGAGGAGAGTCTTCGACGACATGTCGAATATTGCGAGGATCTTCTTCTGATTCAGACTTGGAAACGGGTACACGGATTTCAGAGACCTTCGACTACATGATCACGCTGCCTCGAAACAGGCGTGAACATCTGCCTGCGACAAAACAGGGGCAGCACAAAGAGAAGTACCAGGTGGTTGAATTTATGTCGAGCTGCCGCACAGCAATGAGTGCGCTGGCTAGGTTTGTAATGCTTCGCAGCTCGGTTCTTGGCTTCAGCTCGCCCGACTCTTCGTCCCGGCTTTGCGATCACTTGTCTCGGCTTCTTCTTGCACTGTGCGGTTGCAACGGGACCGATGACTCACACGACTCATGCTTACTCACGAAACTCGGGCGGGAATAGTGCAAGAAGCCGCTGTCTAAACACTGACATAGCTTGCGGTGGCATTCCAATTTCGGCTGTACTGCTGCGGGTGCTGCAGCAAGCCTCGTTAAACACAAGACATGCTGATTTCAAGGGAGGCACTTGACCGTCGGAGAACTTGTAGCAATCCGCTGCTGTGAGTTCTGCTTGGGTCATGGGGTTGGAGAGGGCGAAAATAATGGGCCGTCCTCCGCCTCAGTCTCAGAGAAAGCATCAAGTACGGCCATGGAAGCACTGGCTCGATCTGAACAACCGATCCAGCCGAGCATCCTCCAGGCTTGTTCTTTTGAACTTCCAGCATGGCTTCGACGACTTGTCGGTTGAAGCAGTTGGGTGCCCGACCAACTGCCTCAGCAAGAAATCCCAAGAATCCCAACAACACAGTGCCTTTCGGGCTCGATTTCTGATATAAAACAAGATGCCCCAATCAGCACATCGGGCTTGTGATGCTTGATAATTTCAATGAGGTTCGTGAGATCGTAACCACTTGGCTCGCCTCATGCAGCGCAGAGCGAAGTTACCGAAAGAGCGCCGGTATCAAAGGCAAGTGCGATTCTCACTTGGGCCATTCTTGGTTGATCAGCATTGGTATTGTCATAGCTCTCCATCTCAGAAATAGCGGCACCATTAAATCCAGTAAAAGCTAGTATCGTCGGCGTGGTGGTGGTGGTGGTGGTG